TCTCTCTCTCCCTCCCTCCCTCCCTCAAGCTAATGAATATATTTATGGAAATAATATAGTGGGAAAAAAACAGTCATTAGACTAGATCATGTCTAAAGGAACTGAACAATTCACTTGAAGTTCCATGGCAAATGCATTTCTCATAATAGGTGGGGTAAGACAATCTTGAAATAAAAAGAATATCTTACTGAGTTGGCCTGCCCATATAGATGCCAGGTGTGGGCGTGTGTGCTCTCTTTGTGATAGAGTAATCCACCCGGATTCTTCTACCATCCAGCTCCATTCCATTTGCATGTTCCATTGCCTAAAAGAAAGTCTCTTATAATGTTTATTCTCAATACACAAAATTAGCATGCCTGTAGTTATCCCTCTTCTATGAACTAAAGCATGCTGTTTTTTCTCTAAAATTAAAAATTAAAATTTCCTGGGACACTTAAGATTACTTAAATATGATCATTTTTAAGCCAACACAGGCAAAAAAAGATAAATAGGCAGCTATTTTTAAGTAAAGCAAACCATTCTATGAGTAACTTTAATCAGTGTCACACAAGGAAAGGATGATCAGGGGCATGCAACAATGTGGCTTCTTACTACCATTTCATGATTTCCCCATCTTCATTTACAGGGATCTATTATAGAAGAACTGAGTATCACTTAAGTTTCAATGATACTCAATTCTTCTAGAACAGATAAAAACACAATACATAAACCTACAAACACAAAGCTAAATATCTAACTTAAAAACACCCTATATAATAAACTTCTGGCCTTCACTTTCTTCATGGATCCATTAACCTTCTTCTCTCATTCTTTTATAGAACAGATCCCTGTTTATGTGACTTTCTAATTACTATTTTCTCTATTCAGGCATCACATTACATGCTTAATTTTTATATAATTAAAAAACCCTTAAAAGCACTAGAGAAATCCAACAAAATATTCCGAAAATCCTAAAAATAAAATTTGAACTGAACCCACAAATATTTTTATGATGTATAAATGAAAAATGTCACAATTTACTAAGATATATGCTGACAGCTACAAGAACAAATTTGGCACAACATTGGAAAAGAAAATTTCTGCCTACAATAATAGACTGGAAACTAAAAATGGAGAATATGCAATGGCAAAATTGATTCTATATATCCATGATAGCGAACCTATGGCACACATGCCAGAAATGGCACAAAGAGCCATCTCTCACGTGAGCTGTCGCCCATTGCTCTTCTGGGTTCCGGTGTGCCGGCATCAGGTCTTCACGCACGCAGCAGCGCTGGAAACTGGAAGTGCAGGTGCCCAGTGCGCATGCACGCGCCAAGAAGATGATCTTAGAGTTTCCGGCGTGCACATGCAGATCAGCCACCTGGTTTTCTGGTTTCTGGAGTGCATACGCATGCCAGAAACTGGAAGATCATTTTCCCGGCACCTGCATGAGCACCAGGCAAGATACTCTTTTGGTTTCCGGGACGCAAACGAACTCCCTTTTCGGCACTCAGTGCCAAAAAGGTTCGCCAACACTGCTATATATGTTACCCAGCTGTTCTGACCCCTCCCCCTCCGTACGCCGAGGCACTCCGAGACAAGATTACGGCTAGACAATTTATTCACAGTAAATTAACACNCAAACAAATGACTATATCTCTGCAAGTATTGCATCGGCACACATAACACTTTACCAATGTTCATTGGGGACATGTGTGCATGTTCACAAAAAAATTCATCGAAATCTGTGATGGTCGAGCAGGGCACTTTTCTGAAATCAGACCACTTGACATGGAATGACCCAATTATTGTTATTATACAATTCGTTTAATTTTACTTTTCTGTTGAATACCACCCAGAGTTGTAAGAATGGGGCCAGTTAACAAATATAGTAATCAAGGCTTCCAGTCTGATGGCCAACTGATGACACACCCAGGGAAGGCTCCCTGAGGGCTTTTTCCTTGGAATGTAGCTTCTTCAACTTACCAACAGAAGTGGCATGACTCTCCTGGGTTAGGGAAAGACCTACAATCATCCCACAAGATCCTCCGATATAGCAAAAGGTCTGCAAGTAGCTTCAGGAGCTGTGCTTCAAAGTAGCCTGCATGCTAGCAGCTGGTGGGGGAGGGGCAGGGCTGCAATCAGTTCCTTGAAGAAGCAGCCATTTTGGAATTTATTTTTCAAAGGACAGTTAAGTTGTACCTTTCATTTCTTAATCATTTTTAAGGACTGTTAATCTTTATTAAGCTAAAAGAGGCTCTCTTTAGTCACAGCTTGCTATTCCTTTTTGAAGATCTGCACCATTTGGGGGATTTCTTGTTAAACAACAAGGAAGAAGGCTGCTAAGGCAAGCTAAAATAAGGAAGTGTGAGCTATCCTTTTTTTAAAATGGAGAAATATAAGGGTAGAAATCCCAAAGGTGCTTTTTTCAAGAGGCAACTGGACTTTGTTTTTTCTTTGAAGACGTTTCGCTTCTCCAGCTTTGTCTGGATGGTTGGGAATGAAAGTATTTATACTCCTTTCAGAGAGCTGGTCATTTGCATTCTTTTAGTGGGTTGTTAAGGTCACCTGGAGGTTTATTTGTGTCATCAGGGTCACTGGAGTGGTGCAAATGGGTGTGGGTCCTTCTTGGAACTGTTGAAAGGACTGTGTTGTACATTGGAGATAAATGATGTCGTATCCCTCCTCCTGTTGAGAGAGGGCTGTTCAATTTGGACATAGATGACCTCTTTGACCCCTCTTTCAAACCCGCGATCCTCTCTGTCCAAAATGTGGACTTTACTGTCTTCAAAAAAGTGGCCTTTGTCTTTTGAAAGCAGATGGACTGCTGAATCTTGTCCTGATGTGTTNGGAAATGCTTAAAAGCCACAAGACATTGAACACGGTTTCTAAGTTTCCTAGAGTCCAAAATTTCTTTAACCTCAAAATGCTGTTCACCCTCAATCAGGAGTGGGGCGGGAGGAGCTGCCAAAGGACCCCGCAACGGAGAAGTGCATTCTCGCTTCAAGAGATTGACATGAAACACCGGGTAAACACGGTTGAGATATTTAGGTAGTTCCAGACATACGGACACAGGGTTGATGACCTTGATAATCGGGAACGGGCCAACATACTTTGGGCCTAATTTCTTCGACTTTTCAGAGGTTCAGAGAAACTTGGTGGATAAATATACACGATCACCAACTTTATACTCCCTTGCCTTCGCCCTCTTTTTATCCGCCTGCTTTTTATGTGCTTGATGTGCCGCATCCAGTGCTCGGTAAGCCAAAGGCCACATTTCCCGGAGCTGGTCACTCCACTCGGAAAGGGACAGCACTTGAGGTTTTTCTCGAGGTATTTTGGGGATAGGCACAAAATCATGGCCGTACACCACTTTGAAGGGCGTAAATCCCGTGCTGCTGTGTACCAAGTTGTTATACGCCACCTCAGCATGAGGCAACAATTCCACCCAATTATCCTGTTGGTAATTGATGAAACATCGGAGATACTGTTCCAGTACCGAATTAGTCCTCTCACAGGCCCCATTAGTTTGAGTGTGGTGGGCGGAGCTTAAGCCCTGGGCGGAGCCTATCAACTTCAGAAACTCTTTCCAAAACAAGGAGGTAAATTGGACCCCCCATCCGAGATGATGTGGTCCGGCACCCCATGCAGACGATAGACATGTGTAATGAACAACTTAGCTAGGGATTTAGCAAAAGGGATTTTGGCACGGGATAAAATATCATCAATATGCGGACGATACTCAGTTGTATCTGTCTGCCCCGTGCCAACTCAGTGA